CCTCAGGTATACACTACCCAAGAGGGTATAGAAGAGATTAAAAGTAACCCTTAGGTGTACACTACCCTGGAGGGTATAGAAGAGATTAAAAATTAACCCTCAGGTATACACTACCTAAGAGGGTATAGAAGAGATTAAAAGTAACTTTCAGGTATACACTACCCAAGAAGGTAAAGAAGATCTTAACAATTAGCCCTCAGGTACACAGTACCCAAGAGGGTAGAGAAGAGATTAAAAATAACCCTCAGGTGTACACTATCCAAGTTGGCATGAAAAAGTGAATTCACACTAATTAATATCAGGAGTTCGCTTTTTGTCTCTCATTTGACTGAAATTTGAGGCATCCATCGTTAACTTATGTAATCATTATCCTTTATTAGTTCCCGAATGTCGTTGTCAAGCTCAGCTATTTTTTACTACCTTTGCAATTACCCATGATTATTCGACTTGTGGCATTTCCCGCCTAAACTGTCCGGTCGAGAACTATTTGATTTACCACACCAACAACAGGATTATATTTTGAGACCTTACAAATCCATCTGCTGGAAATTCTCACTGTCTAATTAGTCCGGTACATAGACCAAATGAACATACAACATATGTGTTGTTTGGATATCTGGTGTTGAACGAACAGCCTTTGTTGGCGCGCTTGATACCTGCTGGCGGGACAGAACGTATTGCATTCAAAAGCATTAGGCCGATGGTACAATCTCGACGGTAGCATCGGTAACCTTAAGGGCTGGAACTCTCACTACTTAAAATAACAGCAATGATCTTATCAGTACTGCCCGGAGATTTTAACATACCAAATATAAATTGGAAGGATAACTGTGCCACCGATTCCCATCAGTCACATTCTGTTGCGAACTGCCTCTTGGATATTCAGCGACAATTTGGCTTTAAACAGCTAGTAAATTCCCCCACCAGAATCCAAAATATCTTAGATCTGGTATTTACCAATGATGACTCTGTGGTTAAGAAACTAGAAGTAACTGCTGGTATAAGTGACCATGATATGGCACTCTTCGATCTACTGATTTACCCTGAAAGGGAAAGGTTGCAGAAGCGGAAAGTCTTTATAAAGTGCAAAGCTAATGCAGCCAAAATCAAGTCAGACATGTCAACTTGTCAGAGTTACTTCCTGAAAGATCTATCTGCTGTACCTGTCGCACAACAGTGGGACGAATTTGATTTGCATCAGCTATATCGACTAAGTTACAAAACAACGTGCTTCACAAAGTAGCCTCAAGTCGTTATTATCTTCCCTAGTTTACATTTTGTCACCGTCGCCTTTATCGGAAGAAACGAAACTATACAACAGAGCAAAAAAATCTAGCAGACCCCAGGACTGGGCCAACTTTAAAGTCACCAGGAAAGCTCTGCACAAAGCGTTATCAAAACCTCGGGAGCAATAGACATCTGAGTTCCTCCTAGATGCCTGTAAAACTAGTCCTAAAGCTTTTTGGTCCCGTTTTACGAAAGTAAGGAACAAAGAGGTTGGGGTAGCAGACTTGGAGGTCGGTGGCAAACTGCTCTCTGATGCGCGAACTAAGGCCGAAGCCTTGAAATCCCAGTTCTGCAGCGTCTATGAGTCCGAAGACATGAATAACATCCCGTCTCTTAGACCGCGCGAGCACTATCCCAGAAATAGATTCATTAATATTCAGCTGTAATGGTGTCAAGAAACATCTGCAATCTTTAAAGGACGATTAAAAAGCGCCTAGTCCTAACAGCCTTTATCCTTGGCTACTTAAGCTAACTACCTACGTAGTCGCACACATCCTTCAGTTATTTTCCAATCATCCTTGGGAAGCGGTATACTACCTGTTCAATGGAAAGATTGACATGTACAGTATTGTACACCTAAGTGAGAACCACCCCTAGCAAAATTATACTTCCGTGGCAAAATTTTAGAAAATGTGAATTCCCATCTGTACTTATATGGGAGATGAAATAGAAAATAGACTTAGATGGAAGGAACATATAAATCATATTTGTAATACTACCAACAGGTTGTTAGGCTTAATTAGGAGAAATGTATGGTTCTCTACGGACAGCATCAAAATGACGGTATATGTTACCTTAGTCCGGCCTAAGCTAGTATAAGCGTCCGTTGCTTGGGACCCACATTGTCATGCGACATGCGACATTGTCAGACAAGAAGGAGTGCAAAGAGCAGCAGTCTGTATTTGTACTAATAATATAAATGGAAAAAATTACTCAGTTCTGATTGGTTAAGATAAATGCAGTTTTCAGGTAATTCAGTCCAGAAGAGAGTTAATTCAGTGCAGAAGAGGGTAAATTCAGTGCAAAGAAAGTAACAAACCAGACATTCTGACTGGTCAATAATCGAAGAAACTCACAGATAGCCAATCAAATGCGAGCCTTGGATGTCGCAACAAAATTTGAAAATTTGCGAGCGAAACAAGGGCCGGCGTTTTAAGTAGGTTTTCTTTCGCCACAGCCGCTGAAAAACAGCTCAAACAACGAAAACACTGTAAAAAGCTCTGCTTTTTGGTTGTCGGTGAAAAAAGTGGTGTTTAGAGATGGGAGTTGCCAAGGAAATCGAAAATTACGAGCCGACCCAGTTTAACACTTTGCTCGAGCGATCCAACGCCGAAATTAAAAACAAACGTGGTTAAACCTCGGAAACGACGTTTCCATTTCATCGAAAGTGATTCGGACACAGACTGAACAATTCCCTGAACTGTTTAGCCGGACTTTGAACATTTTTGCGCCTTAAAGATCTGAAGATATCATTGCATATTATTGTTTTGATCGTACACGGTTGTTTTGACCGAACGCACGGTTTGAATAAATTATTTTTGCACTTGATGCGCACGCTTTGCTTATGCTTAATTATGATAAGCCATCTCGTATTTTTCCATGTATATTATTAATACGTAATCACATGATTTTTCTCGTGCAATTTGGAATAAACAAGCACTTGTTAATTTTTTCAAAGACCACAAATTGCACGAGCCCTACAGGCTCGTGCAATTTTGTTAGTACTTGTGCTTATTTATTCCAAATTGCACTCGAAATCATGTGATTACCTATACAAACGTTTATGGTCAAGCGTCATGTCCCTGCTAAAAAAATTAGAACTTAGCACCCTTAGAGAAAGGAGAAAAATATTTCGCTTGATCTTCATGTATGAAATTATTCATGATTTAGTTGACATTAAAACATTACGTTTCCTAGCACTCAAGGCTACTTACATGTATCTAGTAAATGTCGTTTATACCTTCGTTTCCGAAAGGATATCGTGATTACTTTGTTTTTTTTTTTCCAAGAACACCGAATCGAAAAGGCGCTGTAAATATGTAAATACATTTTTTTAATTCATGTCTTCAGTCGCCGTCATGACTAGCTTAATTCCTCAAAATATATTTTGGATAAAATAAAAAAAGACTTCTAGTTTAACCCCAATAACACACCTTTATCAACCTTTGCATGAAATCTGTTAAAGAATTATGAAGCGGTTAAAATCTTGCATCTCGGCTTCCGTCATCGTCAGTGCAAAAAAAGTCCCATGAATAAAACCATCGTCGAAGCAATGTTTTGCCATTTTGGCTCTTAGACAAGACTGCTTTGGTTTTGAATTCGTCAGACTTGATTTCTAATCATTTAGTTAAGACTCTTTGACTTGACAAGGGGCGTCTGTTTTTCAGTGAAGTATAATGAGACAGGTGCTGCCCTTGCGGTGTGACTCAAGGTTAACTTCTTGTAATAAGACACATTTAAATTTGTTTTATGAAAGAAAAAAAAAAAGGAACGAAATGACAGGTTGGCTCAATGCTGAATTAATTTAAAATGGTAGAAAAGTTACAATGTCTTTTCTTGTCAACTGAATGTGTTATTTATCACGGCAGCCACCTTATTGGATTCAACAAGAAAATCTTTTTTTTTTAAAGCATTTCTTCCCGTCTCCTTTTCTTTTTAGTGACCGGATTTAAACCTTTCAAGGGGACTTCCTTAGTCTGTTTCTAAAAAAAATCTCATCTTACAGATGCCAGATATATATTACGATTATATTATACTTTTCCAAAGTATGCAGAAATTAACTAACCTGGAAAGGTTCATTTTTAAAATAAATCAGTGACAAAAGTAGTAGCTTGCTTTTCCTCAGAATTGTCTCTCAGATCTTACCAATTTTCTAGAGCTAGCAGCAAACAACAATATTCAACTTCTCCGCTTATGGCTAAAATAAAGTGATTAGAAAATTGATTAGCATTCCGCAAAAATGTCTTTTGTTAAGCAGTTAGCATGCAGAATACTTAAATTTAAGCACTCGAAACAATTCATTTCAACATTTGATGTAACCAAACCACGTACTAAAAGTCAGTTTATGAACATGATTTTAACGAGGTTTAGGTACTGGCAAGTACTGTACTTTAAACAAAAAGAAAAAAAAACCTTATATTCTTTACTTCGCCAGTTTTCACAAGGTATCTAACTTTTTTTAGGCTGAGGTAAACACATCTGCCTCAGACAAATTGATCAAATGCAAATGTGTGTCGTTGGCTCGAGGGGCGGATTAGTTATTATACGGCTGTGAAAGATGCATTAGGATATACTCTCATCAGAAGCTTATGGCATCCTTCAGCTCTAACTCAATAACCATAAACTATTTGTTTACTACGTAAGCTTGCAGAGCAAGATCCTGTTTTTGAGCATGTGACAGTTCGATAAGTAATATCAGTTTCCGCGTACATTAGAACCTCGCTAACTTCAACCAGGTTAACTCGAACCCCCCGCTGACTCAAACTAATTTTCCTTTTCCCGCGCAAATTTTGAGTGAAACGTCAGTCGGTCCATAAACGTCAAAGTGTCAGAACATTGTTGATTTTCACGTCCTAAACATTAATCTTGATTGATAAGAACGTGATAAATTTATGAAAACGCAATATATTTGCCTAAACTTCCCAAACTAAACTTTTTTATACAAACTAACGCTATTATAAAATATACTAAATGTAAAAAACGACCGTTGATTGTGTATGAAAGGTAAAAACATGATTCCTTATTAATTATTAAAAGTGAATTGCGTTTCAGTCTACCTCTTGGTTCAATTTTAGGGTAATATTTACATATCATTTAAACATTTTCTATACCATTTAACTCTCCTGCTATTACGTTGTGTCTCTATCATTTTAGAATATTAAAAAGGCACACTTTTCCTCTTCCGGCCAAAGAGTGAATCTATGTCATTAGTTTTTATCAGTAACACGAAAGTGAAACAGAGAGACTACTTGTGATGTGATTGATAAAGTGACTTGCATCTCTCTTAAAATTTAGGCTTAGTTGGATTAGGATGCACAAATACACTCCCCTTCCCATCTCGATGAAAAGTCATGCTTTAAATCATGACAATAATTCCTGATGACGCTCCTATATTCCAATAAGTCAGAGCCGTTGGTCCCTTGTCAAGAGACACACCTAGCAGCGATAACGCCGTACTAATGCCACTGAAGATGATAGAGATACAATATAAAAACCTCATTGCCGGAATAGTTGGAGCCTAGAAACGTCAGAAACGGATCCAATGTTCTGTTTCCTTGCATTAAAAAAAAAAGTATACCAATAAAAAGTGTTTTCGTGTACGATATTTCTTTGTTTTTTTTTTGTTTTTTTGTTTTTTTTTATGCCTTTATTTCTGGTTTTTTAATTCTTCGCAATTGAAGCAACATGACTCTATTTACAGAAAAAGCGCAGAGACAGATTATAATTTCAGAGTGTGTTAGAAGCTAGCGCTTCCAGCGTATGTAAATTTCCTGCTTCAGATGAACCGACTTGGCAAAACAGTTCAGAGTGAATATTGCACTACGTTGTTTGTTCGCCGTTGTCGTGGTGTATAGCGAGCAAACAAATTCAGAAATAAATGAATCTGGAAGTTAGATTGAACATTTTATTACTCGTGGCCAGCCAATTCGAAAAAATAACTTTTGAGTGGAGACAATAGCGGATGGTGGATGTCTTGGATAATCTTAGTGAGGACGAATGGACTTCAATTGAAATGTTGACATGCGATGATTAAAATTATAAGATTTTTATCTCAGATAAAAGGATAAACGATGTTTCTTGAAAAGCTTTTCCACTAGAGGAAAATTATTCACTATTAGAAGAATTTCCTCAACTATGATAACATGCAAAAGTTTTTAAAGAAAATGAATTTACAACTGATAAAACTGCGTTGGGTTGATCAATAATCTGGCTCAGTGATCTTTTTTTGCATTTTTCAGATTGTTGATATTCTTTATTTTACTTTAGAGTACAATACAAAATCAGATTAAAACAAAGAAAACAAATACCTCACATTTTTAGCTTTGCGGCCTACAACACGAACTGTATCCCCGTTTTTTTTCTTTTCTCGAGCATTTTAAAAAGCCGTGTTTGTTGATTCCAAGAGATAATTCCGGAGCTATTTTCAAAATGCTGTAAGATCATGTGATAATAACTGTAAGCATTGTGCCGAATATATTTTAAGGGAAAAGGCGAGAGAAAAAACAACAGCAACAAACAAACAAACTTACAAAGAATTTGTCTAGCTGCAAGATACATTTCAAGCTGCAAACGCCTCTACGTAAGCTTCAATCTCAAATAGTTTTTAGAAAAAAAAGTCACGTTGAACTGACTTCGTTTATTCCAGTGTTTTACATGTCGATTGCAAAACGGCTTAATCTATTGAACAATAAACGTTTTCAGGTAACAAAATGTTTTAATAGTGCATGTCTGGTAAAATATTTCAATATCACATTCATTTTTCTTCTTTTGACGAACAGCCGTGCACGAGCAGCAACTAGGTCAGAACAGATTTATAACAAAGTTCGGATATAACAGGCGTTGTCACTGATTGAAAGAGCGTGCTCTATCAGAGTTTAAAACTTAGAGCTGAGCTAAAGCTGTCACGCCATCTGCCAAATTGTACTGCCCAAAAATCGTTGTGATGATCCGAATTAAAGAGAGTAAAAGAATGTATAGAAAACGTACCAAGCATAGATAAAATGCCTTTACATATTATGAAGTAGGTACTTTAGTTGGTGACAAAAATTTTCATAAAGATTTGATAGAAAAAGGAATATGTTTTTCCACAACAAAGCATCTGCTATGTTAGGGCTAACTAATCGTGAAATTGGATAATAAATGAAACAACTTACTTCTCGCTCGGCCTTATCTGAGGCTGTTAACAGCTTGTAGTGAGATGTACGCTTCAACGGAAAAGTTAAAGTTGCTGAAATGCACCTGCACAGCTCCAATCGCTTCACCTGCAACTCTCGGTGCAGATCTGGGCGTTAACACTCGGGGTTTTCAATAAAAGCTTCCTTTCCGATATTGACGAAGGAATCACGTTGTCAAATCACAAACGAGACGGATAATATTTACATAAAAAATCTTATATTAATCCGGGATCATTGTCTGGGATTATGACAATACGTGAAGGATTTTGGATTCCATAAGAGATAAGGGAGATTCTTTAACTCGAAAATAGAAGACTTTTGAAACAGTCGGCTAATGGATTTTTTAAGAGTTATCTTTGAGTGTACTCTTTAAGTTTTCAAATACTTAATGTTTACCCTAACGTGCGTCCCTAAGCATTTATTCACAATAGAAACTGCAAAAAATTCTTTCCACTTCATTATTTTTTCAACTCAAGAAATCTTAGTGCAAAAACTACTTGTTCGGTCTAAACAGAGGCATTAAGAGGCTGGATTTCGTGAACCCTTCATTATATTAAAAATATCGGTCTGTCGAATTCCCTCCTATTGTTTAAAACGCTTTCCTTTTAAAGGAGATCGATGCCATCACTGTTTGCGTGATCACGCTCACGAAGGTCACTCAAAATGGTCTCGTCATGCTAAAAACTGATTGTTTGATATGGATCGATATCGCTTGCTCCCTTTAATTGGTATTACAATAATCCAATCATTACCTAACAAGTGATCATTTTTCGGTACTGAAATAATTATAACAAAAGTAAAATATTATAAATCATAATGTAATATCCGGACTTTTAATAAATAATTTCCTTTGCGACCTATTCCCTGACAACAAAATTCGTTCAATTAAAAGGGTCTCCCAACACTGATCCAGGCGGTTAGTTTAGGCTGTTAGCTTGGATACTTAAGTTAGTTATTATCTCCCGCCTTAAACGAACTATGACTTAGGAAGTCACGCAACACTCTATCCAAGAACGACTGCAAGGTCACCATATCAACGAAACCATCTCTTGGAGACATTCGTTCATACGTAAATGCGTTTGTAGCTTGAAAACTGGTCTGGTACCTCCCATTATTTATCATCGAATTGCGATCAGCACATCGAGCTTTGTCTTGCCATGATTGGTCTTGTTTTGATATGGAGGTTCAGAGCTATCTTAAAATTGCTTGCAAATAAAATTGATAATTCCTTGTTGACAAATTTTAGTTATCTATCTAAGAGTTCCGACGGACTCGATTAGCCAAGCTATCCTTCCGCACAACAACAGAAATAAAACACTTTTACTCAATAAGAAAAAAGAAAGAAATGGATGGTGTCTTTGTTGTGTGGGTTAACCGGGAAGGTCGAGGAAATGGTTGACCACCCCAAACATGCGATAGACACGCCAGATTTTCGACTAGGAAACAGAAATACAACACTTTTACTCAATAAGAAAAAAGAAAGAAATGGATGGTGTTTTTGTTGTGTTGGTCGACCGGGAAGGTCGAGGAAATGGTTGACCACCCCAAACATGCGATAGACACGCCAGATTTTCGACTAGGTCTGCTTTTATTACTTGTTACGAACATGAGTGAAAAAAAAGGCCGGACCATCTTTTTCATTTCCTGTTATCTTTTCCAATAGCCATATTCTAAAACGATACGTTAAAACAATTGTAACTGATTGGACATGTTCTAGAATGCAGATTTCTGAAATAGAACAAATAGTTTTTAATCCAAAGTCATTCCATTCGTGATTAGAGCGAAGGTTACCCTGTCACATGCTGACATAGGGCAGCTAGAGCCCGCAGTGACCGGGAAAGTCGATATTTGTAAGGTTAGGCCGTCTTTATTCATAGGGGTCATCTATATTGCAAACCACAAATGACATGCGTCTACTATTCTTTTTTTGATTCATTGAACCTCACTTTTGTGAATTTATTTTGTTGGTAAGCAGAAAGAGCATTGGAAGAAGTCAGTCAGATGCGAAATGGTTGGAAAATGTGTGTTGCATATTTCAAACACCTCCTGCCATTATTATACAAGATCGGAATGATATTTGAAACCTAACGTTGTTTTAAAATCTCGTTTGATATAATTGCTTGTAAAGTTATGTCTGTAAGACGGGTAGATCTTAGTCAAAAGGGAAAAAACAGAAGTTCCATATAATATCGGTCGTTTTCGGGGTGGCAAGTTTTTCATTCTGTAATAATCGCGTCACAAAACTCAACACTTCTATCGTCCACAAACCTAAGCCAATTATCGAGTTAGCAAGTTTTTGGAATCTTGGCTTATCATGTTAACACTCCATGCGAACAGAAATTATTGTTTACAACCAGACTAATTCAGACTAATTCTTTTCTATTTAAATTCAGTTTCTTTTCATAGGTTCCTTTTTTGTCAAAGAGTACTTTTTTTTTACCATTTCACCCGTTGAAGAGTGTGGGGCGTAATAGAAATTTTTCACATGGTCAACAGCTGTCAAGGGTAAACTCCGAGAGCAACCTTGTAGAGAGTATGAAAGGGCGCTAGTAAGCCGACATTGCGTCAACAAGGAAGCCGCGAAACTATTCATGAACATTTCCGACACGAGCCAAAAAAGTTGAACTCCCAATAACAATTTACGACACAATGTATATAACAATATAGATGAGATGAAATTATCAAATGTGGTCAACTTTACATTCGAAAAATTGAATTGAAAAGCAAACTGACTTGCACATTGACTCCAAGATTAACGACGGCTACAGACTTTCATATGTAAGGAACTAATACTACCTACATTTTCCTTCTATATGATCGGTTTTTTTATTAGGAAACTTGATGGAAAGACGTTTTGTCTTGTTTTATGCGGCATCCCGACGACAACTTATGTGATGGTCAACTCACATGCCCCGAAATGCATTCCATGGTTTTTTTAAATGTACATGTTCAGAAAAGAGTAAACTTTTTAAAACAGAGACATCAAACCACTGTATATAATAAAATTCACACTTACGCGAAACGAGAGTAAAAATGGCTTGTATCAGACTCCACTCTGTCCTCTATGAAAGGCGCACTCCATTAGATGTTCGAGCCAAGTATAATCTACGTAGCTGGTGGTTTTAGCTGAATCCTTACAGGAGGAAGTGGTGTCGACGTATCACATCCGTTTGGGTACCGACATCGCTTACCGTGTTTATTCGATTAAACGCCGCGGTGTTTATTAAATTTTTCGTGATTCGAGCGCGGCATTTTTTCGAGGGCGGTGTTTACTTGAAATCCAATTTATTTCTTGCAAACAATAGTATGCTAACTGACCATTTTAATTTTAAAAAACAGAAGCATGTTTTGGTGCTAGTCTATAAAAAGTCATTTTTTGTATTGTTCTCAATTTCACAATTTGCATGTTAATATTACTGCAATACACAAAGTGAATAAATATCTAATGACAGATATGCCTCCTCGACATCAGGTATAATACATTCAAAAGGATTTGTGTCTGGTTCACACAAAATTTCCCTCTGCGATGGAAGCAATGATCGCTGTGTGCCTTTTGAGTCCATTATTCGAATAAACGCCGCATCATGCTGCGGCGTTTATTCGAGGGCGACGTTTATTAATATTTCATTGTGGTTGTAATATTTGTAATATTTCATTTTATTAATTTCATTGTGGTTTTTCTAGGTGCCTCTTTCTGAGTGCGTTTAAGAGGTGGCATATGTAAGTGCGCTTTCAAATATTTTTAAAAGACCTCTAGGCATCCTTGTAACCTTAAGAAATAGTTAAACTTACATCTGACAAACTGCAAAGTTAATATGCAAAAGTCAACTGGTTTTTCTGTTCGTAAATACCATAAACTCCATAAGAAATGAAGGAAAGCGCAGACGACAAACATGCATCTTGTTTTTCTTCCCACAATGCCTTCTGTTTCATCACATTTTGTTCAGTATTCCTGACAGGTTCTTAGAGAATAGAGTGTAAAAGGTGCACGAATATACAACATTTATCAAAGACTTCAGAGAATACAATGTAAACATAAGGAAAGCATATCACTGCAGTTTTTTGTTTTGTTTTTTTTTTTACTCGACGCTTTTCTTGTTGATGTCGACTTTTCAGGGAGATATGGCTCGTATGTCACCAATTTTTGTATTTCTAACCACAATCTACTTGTGAACATGGACACTTAGTATGCCACCGGAAACAGTTTTCTAGTCTGAAACAGGAGGGCTGTGTTAAAACTGACCTCTCTCTCTCACCACTTTCTTACAGTGTTTATACTGCAGCTTCTGTGATTTGTAGACCCCCCCACCCACCATTCTTACTGAACTATACCTATCAAAATACCTATCGAACGTTTCCGCGACAAGACTTGATTCGATTTTAATGAGAGTAAGCAGACCTAAATGAAAATATTTTAAAACACCTTCCTTTCAACTACGCAGGAGCAGGTTGTGAGACGGTCCATGTTTCTTATTATCACTATTATTATTATTATTATTATTATTGTTGTTATTATTATTACTTCTTTTTTCCATGTGAAAGGATTCGGATGGCTTCAAACGATCTGAGTTACAACGAGAAAAGCAGCGAGAAAATAACAAACTATCTGCCTCTACCTTCGAAGTCTCCTTGCTTTAAAACAAATATTTCGTGCAAGGTGACTCTTATCTTCAACCATATCCGTCATGTTATAAGGATTGGATTTGTTGATCAACTATAACATTAGAAAAATGCTATTCACTTTCAGTCTGTGTATTATGAAACTTAAAGGAAGGAAAGAAAAACAAAACAAAAAAACCTCATCGTTATGCTACGCCATCTGCCATTCGAATCACGAGAGCGTATTTAAATTTTTGCTATAAAACTTACTTTGCTTCATATGTCGGTAGGGTTCTTCTCTATTTCTTACCTTCACTATGCTCAAATTTACTGTGATCGGACTGTTCCTCTATCTTTCAGCGCAATTAGGCAATAATCGTCGCATCAGTTGGTAACCGAGATGAAAAAGCCCATGAACAATAAATTATTCTCATCAGTTAAATAAAAATTCGATTAATGCTTGCGGCGATAGGGAATGATGAATGTTAAATCAACAAACCAGTTGCATATCGGATGCATTGTGCGCAGCCTTAATTGAAGTTTGGCAATAGAGTATGAAAGAAAACAGAAAGAAAGCAGAATTCTTGATGAGCTGTTGCTTCGATTGCTCCTTATTTTGGTCACATTCTCTGACAGAAAAAAATATGAAAAAAAAAAAAAAAAAAAGGAAGATTGTTTTGACATCGTTATCAGTAAAGTTTGACAAGCTCTGGAGAAGAACAAGATTGGAAATGGTTTTGTCTTCTGAATAATGAATGAAATCACAGGTTCTGTGTGTTTAATTCTCCTCAGAACGAAAAAAACTGATTAAGTCTCTGTGGATGAATTCATGATTCCGTGAATTTTTTTACATCTGGGTGCGTTTCTCTTGACAACAAGACTGTAACAAGATGAATGAAGGGACATAAGAAATTCTAGTTTTTTGTGAATTCTAATCTGTCCTTGGAAAAATAGTAAAGTGTATTGCTTGGAGCAGAAACCTAAAGATAGCTTTTCCTCTTTTCTTCTCGAAATGGAAGACCAGGCCGTCACAATTTTTTCTAACAAATAAAAGGATTAAGAAAAGAAGTTGTCTAACAGCTCTGGCAGACCTCCTGGAGTAGTGAATAGAAATAAAGAAGAATCCAAAAATTAATATTAAAGACGAATGAACAGATCTCCCCAGGGCCTACGACAAATTGTTGATGCATGACCAACTTGGCCATGCATTTCCATAACGTTTGTCTCAAGAAACGTCTGCAAAGACCAAAACAAGGCTCTGTAATAAGGTATCGCTCTGTTGTCACCGATGAGATTTCAGGGACATTTACCCAAGCTTCGATGTTGTTTGCGCGCTTTCTTTCAAATTAAACTTACTCCTAAAGATTCCCCCAGGGTATTTTTCGGTGGCTGACCATCAGTGCCGTAGGCGAAGAATAAATGTTTTGCGGTTGTTCTGCGATAAGGGAATGGGCTCTCACCACACTACGTCCGTTTTGTAAGTAGTTATGCGAGGATAAGCTGCTTCGAAAAACGAAAAAATCCTCAACATTTAAAAAAAGTAAACATGAAATGTCTTTTTTATCGTCAGGATATCAATTGCATCACCTGGAATAAAAATGATTAATTTTGGTGCAGGCTTCGTACTTCAAAGGACATCGCCGGCACATAAATGAAGTGTGTACGGGAGACCGTTGTATTATCAAGTGTTATGGCCCCGCCGGCATGTATGATCAATCTAACCTGATGTGATAAAAACATACAAAAACCCCGCGGCTCCATCTGTGGAGGACAGAAAATCAACGATATCTATGAAATTTTATAGCATGGTACACTATCGCCAGTTTCTCGTTGTCGATTTGTGAGAACGAGCGGAAAAGAGGGGAAAACTAAAAGAAAGAAAAAACCATGGGGGGGGGGGTGTGGCGCTAACCCATGCAAATTTTCTCCCGTCTGCTCATTCGTTGGTCTTTCCGACAAAGCGTCTGACACGCGACATTTAATTAAATAGATTTGATGCGCCTCGTTGTTTTGGTTTTCCAAAACCAAATTTTCTCCCGTCTGCTCATTCGTTGGTCTTTCCGACAAAGCGTCTGACACGCGACATTTAATCAAATAGATTTGATGTGCCTCGTTGTTTTGGTTTTCCCTCAGAGGTCACATGACAGTCTTCAAGATGTTATTTTCTTTGTAAATTGCTACCGGTACTTTGATTTCTATGAAGAGAATGCATCAAATAAGATGCATTTCCAGTGATCTGTGATGGGCTATTAGCATACGGTAAGAGAAAAAGCGCCCCCTGACAGAGAGAGAGATAATACAGAAAATATGCATGGTGATATGGACAATAGCTTCTTTTGAAAAATGGAATTCAAAGCTAATATCGTCCTCATGTAATCATATAATCCTTCCAATTTTCATTACATGAAGTCAGTGCAAAATTCTAGCAGCCAGGAGTTTTTTTGTAGTTGTTTAATACATCATATCCCTGGAAAAGCTAACGAGAAATTTCTCTCAACTGCTCGGAAATTTAAATGTACAAATATCCTTTACATTCTTTGCAACGAAGTGGAACCTCGTTTCAATGTTTTAATCATTTAATTTCCTCTTTTCCTTCATGTTAACGAGTTATCTCTACGTATTTATTTTATGAAATTGTCTTCCCACAGGGCCATAACGGCCTGTTCGCAGTGAGATATCTGAAATGGTTTTGTTCAAAATACAGTTAATCTAACCAGTGATTAAAATACATTTTTGGCACACTTCTATAGCCCTGCTACACTTTGCTTTCTTCAGGTTTGATCTACACTAAGATAAAATTCCAGAGAACCTAGCCCTTACGTATGTACATTTTCATACAAGAGAAATCAAAACCGAGTAAAGAATGTTCAGTTGTTTTAGATTAACGCTAACCACCTTTTAAATGATCGACTCCTAGTCGTCAAGCTTCTTCAAATATTTCATTCGCTATAACCGTAGACGGAAACTTAGAGAAGATGAGAAGTTTGTAGGGGTGTCACTTTTCTTTTACTACTTCCTGTTCTGAGAAACTTGTTGTCCTTCTCTTAACTAAGCAGGCATAAGATTCGGGCGACCAAGAAGGTTATGTTCTTCCACCTATTGTTTTATGATGTTAATTATCCTTCAAGTGTGGTCTCTCGTAGCTGATCAAACTGTTCATTTTTATCATTTTCTGTCGCCACCTTTCCATCGCCATTCTCACTCGCAATGTCCGCATGACTGCTCTCCATTTTCTCTGGATCCAGACCTGTGGACGCCTTGATCATTGTTTGACTCTGTTCAGTACCGTTTGCGGCGTTTTCGCTTTCTTCTTGTTGATGATGTTCGCCTTCATCGCTCGTGTCTTTGGTTTCTATGCTTGTATGCTCTTTGTTCCAATTTTCAGTAACTGCGACCGAATGAGTGCCACTACTAGCATAGTTTACATCATTAGGTATCTGTTCTGTTGGAACTGATCCATCAGGACTCGTTATCTTAGTAGTATCATCCTGCACCGTTAAATTTTCACCACTCATAGCCGCGGAATCATCCTTAGTGATCGCCGTAACATCTCTAAAATCGTCCACTCTTTTTCCAAAAGTTTGATCCTGACTTGTATCTGAATCGTGAACAGCCGATACTTCTTCACTTCTCTTTAGTTTGTGTGATCCATTGATTTCTTGGGAGGTTTCTTCCATGGTTTTCTCGTTGTTACCTCTCAGAGCCAGGATCTGATCCACTCCCGAGCGTCGTCGGGGCTTTTCATCACCCGAATATCCTCGGGTCTGCTCGTTTTCCTTAATGTTAACACTGCTAAGGAACGCTTGAGGTAAGTCATCTTTTCCAGTTTGTAACGAAGGCTGTTTTTCAACGGTAAGACGAAGTTCTTTATTACTGCTCTCCTCTGTACTATTCCGTCTCTCCAAATTTCCATTTTCGTCGCTCTCTTGTGCTTGATGTCGAGTATTTTGGTCAGCATCTGTCTCATCCCTTGATTCACTTCTCATTATAAATGCAGACTTTGGGTATTCATTGGGCAGCGAATTTCGTGCATTTCTTTCCTCAATGATGGAATAATCTTTAAGACATTCCTCCAGGTTTTTACGCACTGCAATCAAAGAGATGATACAGCCGATTCTTAAGTAAAAACAAATTATAACCTCTGGGCCACTACAGCGATATTTGTATGCAAGGAGAGAAGCGGTATGAAGCTGAACCGGGTTTTTACTCAAGCGTCCTACGAGCAATTTGGGAAATGTATTACCAATTTCTTGCGACAAAACTACTTTCCGTGTAAAATTGGGGAAGAACCGGTTGAAAAGCTTGCTCAAAATGAATATTGGGCAGATTTACGCGTTTGAAGAGTAAAAGACAACGTCTTCTGTAACAAGGATGAGGAGTGTAGTAAAAGCTTGGTTTCTCTACTTTGGCAGAGGTAGAGCGCATTTCGATGGAGCACTTAGAACCAAATTTGAAATAAATCGCTACAGCCAATCAGAAATAACTTAATATCACAAGCAGCGAATGAAAATTCAAAGTAAATCCCTGTTAATTCGCTTGCAGCCCGGGAAAACGACAGGAGTGGTGTGATCAAATCACGATTGGCTTTCTTTCCTGTTTTTTTTTCCTTTAATTGGCAATGATGCTGTTGGAATTAAAAAAAAAAAAGCTCCACCGCCATTACTGCCTCTAACTAATTTTTGTAACGGATTGGGTAAAAGAAAGGCGAAAGTTTTTTAAGATCAAATAAAAATGTCTGTAACTGGTGACGATGCTACTTCAAATATGAAAAAAAACCCACCATCATCGGGTGCCTCTTCCTTCAGATTTTCTAGTTCTAAACAGTATGAAGGTCTTCTGCTTCCACCAGTCATTTCCTTCAGCATGCGAGCCCGCTCAACCTCCATTTCAGCCCGTAAAACAGCAGTCTGCTCTCTTTCCTGTGCCATACGCTGTCGTCTATACGCAGCTTCTGCTCGCTGTTGGGCCGCTACTGTCACTTGGGACTGGGCGCGAGTCTCTGTCGGAGAGATGTGTAATGAAGTTCATGGAGAAATATTGGAATAAGGAATCTTTAGCTATCAGTCTACAAATACGGCAAATAATGTTAGTATAAATAAAAAAAAAATCAAACATATATCAATGGTTCGTATACAGGTATAAAGGGCAAAATAGGCGAAGTTCCGTTATTCCAGAGTATCGAAAGACTTAATGGATTGCATGTTAAAAGCGTGAGATCGAAAATGATGATAATTCGCACTCAGTCCAATACCAAAATTCCAGACTGTACGAAGATAGAAAAGCGTAGGCATCTCAAAACGAGCGCTATTTGACCTGGACTTCGCAATTTTTTTCGTAGTCGGATAATAATGAGGAGGAAGTCACTTGCTAAATTAAAGTAATCCTTCCTTGCCCTTGTTAAAAAAAAAATCCTAAAGAACTTTGGTACAAAGCTCAGCTGCCTTCCTATCAGGCGACTGCTGCCAATATATTCAAAGATAAAGTGGCAGATTTGATGATGACATCATCTTATCGATTGCAACGAATACCACGCGGCTCGTGGTAATCAGTTTGTTGGCGTACGTCGTGAACTTGATTAGAAAATAAATTGAAAAAAACAATTAACTGAAGCACCTTCACTAGTATGATAACATGTTGAACTACCTGTTTCAAAAAAGTACTTGGCCCTTAGAGATATATTGGCAATATATATTTTATGACTGGAATCGACTGAGCAGAGAGCAGAGGAAGAAACGTAGCAAAACTTTATGTCACAAAAACTAGTATTGGCTTAGCATATAGTTCTGCTGACATTAAGCTAATGCAAAACGTCCGTTGTTGTGCAACTAATATAAAGAGCATTCGAGACTACTTGAGGATTTAGGGACTCAATAATAGTTAGGACAGTGGCCAAACTCTGGATGAAGCCCTCTAAATGACACAGTGTACTCACCCTCATCCAGAGAGTAAGTGAGATCAAAAGAAGATACCACGCTGGACTTTCCAATGCTGCGTGTGAGAGGGTGTGCCACATCACCTAAATCACTGTCATGACGACAAGAGCTGGTGAACGCCCTTTTGATCGGAGATGAGGTGGTCTCTGGCACGATAAACGGCTGGAAAATGGTCATAGTCATCTCATCAGTAACTCTAAGAGCGAGGGACTTTTCAAACAGGTTATCCACGAAAGGACCACCACTGATAAGGTCATTCTGCCCTGCTCGTGGGGTAACGATTTGCTTAAGGTTTAACAAAGGTCGATCAGTTGAATTGACATCGGCACGACTACTTACTCGATGTTTCCGCTGACCGGTTAATGATGAACGTAAAGCTTTTGCTATTCGCCCCGATGAGATACGGCAGCTTTTATGCCGAGCTCCAAAAGCAAACTGTGTGGTTCTCACAAACCTCGAGGTGTGGAGCAACCGCTTCCGAGAGCAGGACTTCGGCAGACTAAGAGCTGGCAAACGTCGTAGCCTCAACACATTGACAGATGATTGGGATAACTCCGCAAAACACAAGGTGTTTAGTGGCTGCCTGCGAAGGTACACCATGAGGGCAACAAACTGAACAGCAAAACTAAGCAAAGTGCTTGACGTTTTACCAAAGGTAAAATTCGCTGCACCAGTGAGTCACTGAACTAAGGCCCTTACTCAAGATGCTCACTTACTTATAAATCGATGATAGCAATACTGGTGCCTGCAAATCTGTCCAATGAGCAAAGCTGAACTCCAGAATGGACATCTATTTAACACCGCCTTCAGTTTAAATGATAAGGTTACATGCATGTCTCAAACGCTTGGTTAGTATTGCAGTGTTCAGATAAGAGATTCTAGGCTTTTGGGAGCCGAAAAAAAAACTTTTTCTGATTAAAAATGATTTGTTATTCCTGTTTGTAGTAAGGTTTTTAAGGTGCTGAGTAATTCAATCCTAATGAAAGTGTTTGTAATTTTCTCCAGCACTATTTCAAAACCATCATCCATTTTATCCTGAAAGCATCTGAATCACCATTATCCTAATTGTGTGATCAGATAACACGGAGATACTCAAACACTACAAAAGCACGTACGCACGAGCCATTACACTTGAATCTGCTATAGACAATACAGCATCAAGAGGCTTTTAAAAACTGATGTAATTTGACGTTATGGAATGAAGATAATTCTCAGTGTGTTGAATATTTTTGGTATGTGCTGGCCTTTTAAATTTTTAAGGTAATTTGGTCTTGAACAGAGGTTAGATTCTGCGGCAGACTCTTGGGGTTTGGCACTTAGCCGTAATAAGCTCTAAATTGAGGAACACGAGAGCTTTAAATCGTTTGCGATGAAAGTTAAAGAATAAATGACAGACACGCACAAACTCAATTTTAAAGCACTTAAGATACAATGTGAATCGAGTACAGCTCTTAGTAGCATCGCTTAAAAGCTGATTTGAAATATACGAGCTAGATGTTTATTTACATGGGTACAGAAGAGATGCTTAAAACTGTGAAATAGGACCAGGAGATTGACTAGTATGGAACAGCTGGGAACATTTTTGAATTGGCAAGAATAGGGACAAAAACTATAACTGTATTGTCAATGATTTTTGGAATCGATTCTTCGGTATGCCTGTGGGAAGGCGAATGATTGGCAAGTTACACGAAATGAAGAACGACGAGATCACATCTATCAACAATATTATCCATTTGGGTTTAATATATCGCCGAAAAATAGATCGACAACACCAGTGTAATTGAAACTTCCAACTTAAATCCATTTATAGCTGCTTAGTTAAGTATATTTTGATGCGCAACAATTTTTCAAAATCTTGTTTTGGTATTGATAAAGGTCGAACATGTAACAAGGGCCGACACGTGCCGACACGTGCCATGGTTTTATCTTCTCTTTTATCATTTCATGATTAAAAAGAAAAAAAAAATAGACTTTCTGGCGTCCGTAAGTCAGGATACTTCTGCAGAAGTGAAGGCTCACCACTTGACCGAAATTTTTAGGAATGGTTCCTTGTTTCCCTATTTTGTTTTCTAAGGTAAAAATTTCCATAATATTTAAATTTTGTCTCATTTGTAGTTTCCAAAATTTGTAGCAGACTGAGTAAAGATTTAATTGAATTTCATGACTCCGGGCGCTGCTTTGTGATTTCCTTAAAATATTTACCAACTTTTAACCCAACATAGTTCTCAAATTGTTCTGATCTCTCCCTTTGGCACCTCAAGCCTTAAATACTCTGGCGTGAAAGAAAACCTCTTATGCAAACCGTCTGTTGGTCTGATTATTTAAACAAAGTTTAGTCTTTATGTGGCAAAACCGCGTCCTAAACAATCCTCAATTTTGCGGAACCTTTTATCTGAACATTTATTCTTGTGACCAATGTCAAGAGGGCCGAGAGCTAACAATGGAAAGACGTTTATTTCATTAGATCAATACTCTCATAAAGAAAGCCTGAGACTCACTGATTGTGTAAAACCGTGGTTTGGGTTAGACCTCGCGTAAATGACCGGCCCGAAAGTCCCCCCTCCCCTTTCATTGTTCAATCTGTTCGACTAGAAAAGCAACGATTAAGAACTTAATTCACATTTCAGTTGTAACGTCTACTATCAAACAAGAGATCGTCTCATAATATCGCATGCTGAGAGAGTATATCATTCAAGAAAATTAAACTTGTGCATTTTTTTAACGAGCTTTGAGATATTTTGCAAGACCGAAGAATGTTTATATCATTACTAGCCACCATCTCAAAATTGATTACCTCCTAAATTCAAAAGATCCTTCAGTCAGACTCTAAATTAATAAGATAGTAGCCAGAAATCTTGTCACAGGACCATTAACTTTCCATCTAAACCAATCACATCATTGAAAAGTTGTCAAACGATACTCAGTCAGATCAAGTAATCGCTGCAAATGACACTTCCTAAAGTTGTTATTTGTTAATCTTTCTTACGAACTACTTTCCGGGCTAAATGACGTAAATTTGAAAGGCCAAGTGGCTGCAATTAATTTTTTTTTTCGCAAGTGTAATGACCTTATACCTCTAATCCGTTTACAGCCTATTAACTTTGACACAAAAGACTGCATGTGGCGTTTCACTCCACGTCAGATGCAGAGCTCTACGGTTATAGGCGGATACGAAAGCGGATATGAAATTCTGAAGCTGGGTTGTAATGATGGCATGAAAAAGTGAAGCTTTGATGCCGGAGCCGGGCAAAACGAGATTCCGGATTGGCGTGAAACTTCTGATGACTAACTCTGATGAATGTGATGTACACGATTTTTCTTGCAAAGAATGACCTAATTGTTTTTAAATGTAGAGTTACTTGGTACCAAATGAAGAGAACGAATTCTACGTTGAAACATGACTCTCGTCGTAATAAACTTAAATGAACGGAAATAAAACATCGTGGACTCCACCATAAATGTTAATAGCTATAAACTTCAATTATTTTTGGAATATTTTGACGTGATAGGGTGATAATTTGACAACAATGCTGGTCATAGCACTCCTGATTAATTGTCAAGTAGAGCACGTGTCGAAGCGTGGGTTATCTTCTCTTTTATCATCGTATACATACGCTCTTTTTTTTTTCTTAACTACAGCAGGATACCAAAATATATATGAACGTAGTTCCGACATTTTTTTCAAATTTTTAATTTCTTATTTTTTTTCTTGGAATGTGGTGTGGGGAGGGGTGGGTGTGTTAATCATCATAGCTGCTTGCGCATCTGAGTGGTAATTTCCCTGGTTCAGTTAAGAAAACAATTTCCAAAAGGCCCGAACTTTTAATTTTCATATAGACATCGATGAATATGACAAAAAAAAAGTGTTGAAATATCTTGAGACCTCCCTTTAAACGGGAAACTCTGTGGAGCCGTACTGAATATTTAATTCCGTCTACAACACCGATACCAACATCGATCACCAAAATCAGTTCAAACTTTAAGAGTCATTTTGGATCCACAAACAATAAACGAGATTTTCTCCAAATATTATTAGCATCATGAGAAAAATGTATTATTGAAATAAACCTAAAGCATTTCCAACGAGCTTTCAGATATCACTTAAAAGACAAAGCCGAAGGCAAGAATTAAGTTATACTGACTTGACGAAATACCAAGATTGATCGCCCCCAAAATTCATAAAATTACTCTGTTAAGGTTTGCAAGGTAATATATTAGCCTTGAATTTCTTCTTTATAGTATCTTCGATGAATTATCTTCACTTAACAGGTCGTTTTGCATCTGATTGTACTATAAGTTAAAAGCAGGCAGACTCGGAAACGGCGGAAGACCGGCGCCGGGATTTGTTTGCTTTCAGAGCAAATAAAATTGATGTTTCTTCGGTTGTTATGGCGGTAGACAAACAGAAAGTTGTTAAGAGATTATGCGTATTAGTTGAGAAATGTTTCAAATAATTTAAACGTAAATTATAGTCAAAATTCAGGTCCAGTATGACTGGAGATGCGGTAGCTGAGTGGAAATATACGTAATCAAGCTCGAGTGTGAATGTTGCATGTGTCTTTGAGGGTTTATGACTTCTCTCCGTTGCCAGAACCCCCGGGAAAGCAAATATCAATATCTGCAATACAAATCTAACACGAAAAGTTTCCCGAAATATCACCTTCGATCGCGACAGTCAAAAATTGTTCAAAATTCCTCATACAAATACTTCTGCCAGTTATCCCAATATATCGCTGAACATTTGCTTGAAAGATTAATTGTTTCATGCGGAAATGAACGATTATCATAATTTTATACTATGAAACTAAATTAACTCACTCTTTCTTTATATTAGCCTTGATTGCTCGGTCAAATACAAATTAACTTTTTCATGATAAATATGCCGTTGATCGAGCATCAATAAACTAAGAGCAGAAAAGTGTGGTTAGGCTATACACTAACCAAGAAGTGAAAACGTGTCCAAACGCCGTAAAATTTAGTAATTGCCGAGTCTTTGCTCAGTGGCTTTAGACTCTAAACGCTGTAGGTCATTAATTTTCACAAAATGTACCTCACGTAAGGGAATGATTCAGTGAGTATCGAACTAATTTATCGAGCCATAATTCTCTGATTTAATTTATCCAGCGCTGACAACCACCGCAGCTTTCAGGCAAAATACCAGCCTCACCACAACAGAACCACTGTGGTCTTGACGAATTGGATTTATCTACACAAAAGATAACCTTAGGAACAAATACCTACTTCTTTTCGGAAGATGAGAGCTGGTTCCACAACCCATTTGTCATACGATGCGATTAGCCTCTATGAATCGTCTTCGCTGCAGTTACAATGAACATTGCGTCTTCCTACTCAGTGCGTGTTTTGGCTCTCATTTACTATCGTAAGAATGTCAACTGGCCTTTTGTCTGGGTATTAGCACGCGGCTTAGTGATTGGTTCGAGTGGATAATGTAATGGCATAATAGACTGTAAAATAGAAAATCCGTGTAAAGTAAGATTAAGTTGAGCCACATGAGGGCATAAAGATAGGTAATGAGTAAAGCCACTCGCCTCGTAATTTAATCGGAGAAATCTTGAGTTTTAAAGAGACAATTTTCGCCGTGGTAAGAAAGAACGCCGAGCATATCACGTACAAAGTCTGTTATTACTAAATTTAGTAAGTTTAGCATCAAAGTATTACGTGCGATCTCCGGTGTGTGAGAGTATTTCAGTGATCAAATTCATCGAACCGGAAGGAGTAAAGGATTTGTTTAAATGTCACGTAGTTTTCTTCGAAAGATATCAAATACTCTCTGGAAAAGTCTTTTTTGCTTTTTATGTATTGTACGGTGTTTTACATACGTACTGTGACCATAGACACAATGGGGCAACTATCGACTACAATCAATCTGTCAAGCCACTAATATAATCACCGGATGTGGGGGCTAATCTTGTATGACGCACGTAATTGGAAAATAATCAATATCGAGCACGCTAATCATTTCCAGTAAATCATTTGATGTCTTTGACCTCCATACTCGATAAATAGCAACAGCTTCTTTTACTGAAACTGTGTTTCGCCCACCTTCTTCGTATCGCTAGTTCCTATGACTCTCCTCTTTCATGCTGTCTGTTGTTCTTAAGAAAAGGCAAAAGGAAACGTCCACAATAGGGCTATTAATTACTTGACAATTGTCACACTAGAAAGACATTTACAATCAAGACAAATGAGCGGTTTGCGGACTTGAAAGCGAGCTTTAGGGACGAGCGTTAAATAAGGGCCACGGTGGTACAAGCGAGGGTTTTTTTTTCATGTTGCTTAACTCTAATAAAGGCAAATACCGGTACAAGGGAACGTAAAATTTGCGATGATACGGTATTGCGTTATTTTTGGTGAATTCTTTTGGACATTTCTATATTCGCACAGAGTTTTGCTGTTTTACGATCTCTGTACCTTCGTTTCAACCATTCCTTGGCTGCGCAGGAAAATGAAATTCAAATTTTATGATGGTCCCAGTTAAAAAACTATTTCACTCTTTCTACCTGTTATCTTCATCTCCTTAAATTCAAAAGTGCTGTTGTCGTAATTACCTGAGAAGAAAACACGGTAGGCAAACACTGTGAGCGACAATAGCGCTGCGCACATATTACGTCACGAATTTGAGACCCCTGCCGTGACTCAGAAAAACAAACAGCCTTTCCTGGCATTTCAGACTTTCTTGAACAGGTCCCCCTAGGGCCTCAGTCAGTAGCCGTTATTCTGGCCCTCCCCCAGAAGGGGTGACGATTTGCTCCCCAGCATTCCGTGATTAAAGGGGGAAATGGCGGAGCGACTTGAAGTGAATATTTAAGGTTTTTTCTCCTCCTGAAGTAAGTTTCTGATGAATGATTCCATCTTTTAGCGTACGACTTGATAAGATTTTTAAGATTTCGATCTCGTAACACCTTCATAACAGCTGGAAGAGTCAGCCTCGAACTATCCTCTTTTGAGTCTTGGTAAGGGAAATATATTCATGTGTTCATATAGAAAAAAGAAGAAAACCTGAGTTAAGGAGTGTTTTTGTCAATGATATGTATAAAGGCGTAACTTTAAATTTTTCGGTTATGTTGCTTTATTTATTTTGGTCAAATCCGCGGGAAAATTTAAATCCTTGGAGGAGGTGTGATACGGGATTAAGTGAGTTACGTTTTCCTGACCGGTGAAAATACGAATTAAAGCTCCGTAAATTGTAAACTTTTTGCTTTTTTCGATACATGAACCTTAAATTTGTTTATCCGGGGTTTTTTTTGATGCGCTATTTCTACTTTTTGATGTGCATTAAGTATTAGCAGGACCCTCCCCCCTCCCCTGAACCCCCTTAACAATCCTCATGGGTGAGTAAGTTTCTGAAGAAACTGTGGGGCTGTGTCGGCGGGAGGGTATAGCAGGTAATTTAGTGTTAACAACTGAGTTGAAAACATAAATTGGCCATCGTAAAGGGTAAAAAAGCTGACGTTTCGCTCTGACAAAGGGCTAATGCTCAAAACGTCAGCTTTTTTATCCTTTACAGTGGCCAACTTATGTTTTCAACTCAGTTGTTAACAGTAAATTACCTGAAGTCCTCTAGGTGCCATGTTGAAGTCACCTAGTGTCCCATGGGACAGAGAAGGGGAAAATGAATGAATGTGTTGTTTATTATTCCATAAATTAACATGATGATAAATGGCCAAGAGGCGTGTGGTGCCAAGTTGGTGTAACCATTCTCTTATCCAACGCAAATTAATGGTCAAGAAAGAAACTACAAAAAGTGAATGCTACCTTCATCTGCCTAAACAGCAAAATAGCTTTAGCAGACTGGAGCTGACTGGAAATCCAACCTAATACAGTCTTTTAAGCATGTACTAATTATCTCCAGGATGTACAGTAATTTTACAGCCAAGATATGTGCAATGGCATAAGGGACAATATTTCAGAGACTAGCATTGGACAAGTTGTGCACAGTTTGTTCTTATGTTTTGTGGTTTGGAACTGAGTGAAGGGAGCAATCAAGGAAAGCTTTTATTCAAATATGCTGAGCTTACACTATCTTGCATTGATTGCATAAGTTAGAAACTACTGAGACAAGAACTCAACTTAATTTTTAAAACTTTGAGCTTAAAGAGAAGCATTACACACCATCAAAAAATAATGTTGTTATACTATGTGGTAGCAAATGGAGGAAAGTAACATTATTGCTGTTGTACATATTTCATTTATGAACTTTCAAAACTTAAGTTTTTTCAAGCATCTAAAATTTCAAAGTAGACTTTGAGTTCATCTAAGAAAAAACTTCAATTCCTTCTTACCTTGATGGAGGAAGGCTCAGTGGACCAATTTTTGATATCTTGTAATGATATAATATGGTATTGAAATCATTTTTTTCTTTTTTCTCCTGCAGATGCATGTCCTAAAGTTTGAGATCTTTAGAATCATGAAAGTCCTGAAAATGATTGCATGTAAGTTATTAGAATGAATACTTGAACCCAGCTTGGGTTCTCCAGATTGATTAAGGATAGTAAAAAACCGCTTTTGGAGATTTGAAGGTCAAATACACTGTGAATGAGATTTCTTTTTTCTTCGAGAGGTACAAAATGATTTTCAGGTGGCTTCTCATATCATGCAATCAAATAAGCTCCAGGTGGGTGGGCACCCGGCTTGAGTTCAGACTTACCTTACCTGAGGTTCTGCATTGGAGATTGCATCCAGTTAAAATTTATTTACTGGAGTTTGCTTTTGGTAACCATTTACCGTAAAGTAGGCTTAAGTTACATGTTTCTCATACCTAAGATAGCTTTGTTGGTTATCAATTCCTGTGCTTTTGAAACTGGGCTTTGAATTTGCTGGGTAAAGAAATCTTGCATGAGTTTTGGGTTCCTAAAAACATTAAGTTCAGGAAGTGTTATAACATAGCTAGTAAATTTGTCTAATCAAATTCAATTGCGCGAGGGTGCTTCATATTCCTGTTGTGCATGGTCATGACATCAGCAAACATATCCCTCTAGAAAAAAGTTTTCCATTGGGTTGAAAATGTTATAAAACAATTGGTTCATATGTCAGCTGTGTGTTCATTGAGATATGAAGCACTTGGGAAGTTTAGAGAGCACTCAAGAGTTGCTCTCGGCTATGCCCCAAGCAACTCTTACGCATCTTTCATACACTCCAAACTCCCACATGCTTCATATCTCAATGATTACATGCTGACATATGAACCAATTGTTACCAAAAAAGAAAAAAAACCTTTTTCAGTTCAAGTTGTCCATTGGAAACCTTATTCACAGTTTGTTCTGTTTTCTGTTGATGGAAGGATGATTATTTAATGTTTGACACCATCTTAAACAATTTTTTTTTCATCAGACTAATTGTTTTTTTGTTTTGTTTTTTCTCTTCTGGTGACCTCTTTAGCCAAAATAGGTTTGCAGGCATCATTGGTGCCTTGTTGTGTCTTTACCCTTTGACACCTAAGTGTGATTAGCATCTCATTTCACCTCACAATATCACCTCTGAATCACTCATGTAAGTCATGAGAATAAAGGAAATGATCACAAACTGGAGAATCTCTTGATTGCTAAACAAATTCTCCTTGTCAGCACCTTAGAAAATGTATAGAGAATAGTTTAGAGAATTTACATACTGATGTTAGCATAAAAATGCTGGGTTAAAACTCAGGCTGCCAGTGATTATAAATTACTGTTTCCTTTTCTATGTGCATTGATGTGCATGGTGCTCTGTTGCTGGATGAGGAATCAAGAATGAACAATAACACCAATAGTCCTCTAACAATCAAGCAGTTTTTCAGTACATTATGCTGTGACATAGTTACTGAGGTGTGAAGAATTGTTGTAAGCAATAACATCCTATACTAATGTTCACTTGTCAGACTAACCATTGCATAATATTGGTATTGACAAATGCTTTTTAGGTTGCTTTAAAGTTACATCATCAAATATTCGTTAGTACCAATCTCAGACTTAATCAATAAGGGAGGGGTAAGAGAATTGTTCTGGGTAGAGACATGATGTACTGAAGAGGACAAATTTCACCCACATAATTTACTTTGGATTGACAGTTAAAATTTAGATCTGTTATTGCATTGATTAAAGGTTAAAAAACTACTTCAGTTCGACTCCAAAGAGAAACACGTCCTTCAACTTCAGGTGTTCAGTTTGTCGGTTGTGTCTGCTTAATGAAATGTATGTCAGCTGTTCACGTTATTGCCTTGTCCTTTACAATCAAACATAGTTTTTCGAAATCAGATATTTAGAGAGATTTAATCGAGGTTGTATTTTTCTTATACTTTTTCTTCATTTTTTTTTTTAAATCGACATCAAAAAAGAAACAAGACAGAACAAAGACGTTTATATCCAATCAGAGATTTGTAGAAGAGCAATGAATGTGCTATTGACAAAGGTACTAATTATTCAGAGAAAAATACTTTGATGTATATAAAGAGTATTTTATGCATGATTGAGAAGTTATTTTGAAAACTGGTGACAGTTCTTTTTGAGTACCTGGCCTTCAGGGAAGCCATCCCTTTTTGAAATATTTACGAGAGAGATAAACTTTCAACTCTCATAGATTTTAATGGGTTATTTTTCATAATTTACGAAGAGTTATACGGTATGTTTAAAACGGGTTCATAGAGAATAACAGTTGTCTGACTAACTCATTGTTTATTTACCAGTTCAATTCAGATTGTGAGAGGAAGCAAAGAAGAACGAAAAAGTCTAAGACAAGGAAAAGGCTTAAAATGTTGGTTTAGCGATCTAGTACCAGTTAAATATTTATTAGACACATAATAAAGATATTAAATATCTCTGTGTTACGCTTTGTGGACCTCAGATCAAAAACATCATCCTTGAA